CAATATATCAATTAAGGACTTTCCAAGGTATGATTTTGCAAGGAATATGTCGGGAGAAAAGTCAACAACGCGCCAGGGTTTAATTTTCGCCGAAATTTTGCCTTTGCATGTTCTCTCTCACTCTTCCCTAGAGTAATAACCGGGCTTGAGCCCGCGATGCAATCAAAACCCACTGCCTGGTCAGTGGTCAACATAAAAAAAACACACGACCTCGATGAGCTCATGACCTGAGCCAGCGATATAATCACGTTATACTGGTCAGCGGATACCTTGCTTTGACAGCTGTCAATAAATCATAACATGGATGTCCAATGTCAATGATGTACCTTTAAGCAATGGACCACTCTTTCTGTGGGTTTACCGGCAGAATAAACCACGCGGGGACCCACGGGGGATGTTGGGAGAACACGAGAAAAGCTTGTAAATCACGAGCCATTAGGCGAGTGATTTACAAGCTTTTCGATTCTTTCCCCAACATCCCAAGTGGTTTATTGCGCCGGTAAACCAATAGAAAGAGTGGTCTATCGCTTTTATGAAATAACCATGGAAAAAGTCTGTCAATGAGAGGAAAATTTATTGTACTTTCGTGATCAAGTTGCTTTTTTTCTTCAAATTCATGAGATGACGGGATAAACCAATAACGCTAATAAAATCATTATTAGATAAAAATGTGATGTCCACAAAGACAAACGCAGAATTTAAAAAGTTCGGCTGGGGTGGGGGAGAGGGGGGGCCAGCTGAAGAGGCACTAGGCGCTGTCGTTCCAAGGGAGGGGGTGAAAAGCGTAACGATAGCGGAAGGGATTGGTGGTAGATTCTCAGTTGTAAATAATTCGTAACCAATCTACAAGACGCTCGGTGTGTATCAATCTTGTTCTCAAATTGATTACGTAATCCTTAAGGCGGTGGCACACCGCTGACTGACAACAGGGATGATTGCATGCGCTCATGATCAAAGCACGAGATTGTTGGTGTTTCGCATCCCTATAGAGGAGGAACATGTACACGCCAGAGCTCATTTGCAGATCATTATTTAGAGATATTTATGTTTCGTAGCGACTGGCCTCTCCACCAATCATACGAGGCAAGGTTAAAATGAAAACTAAAAATGAAATAACATACATTGCCACAGGTTGACGTACTAGTGGCTATAAATTGTTGTCTGAACTGTTGCAGCTTGTGAGTCACGCAAAAAACTACGACATGGAAGAGGTGAGGTTTCGTCTTGCTCGGCTGAGCGATTTCGACGAAGTCGTGAATTTGTCGAGGGGTATTTACAAGGGGCATGACTATCTACCACTTGAATTTCACAGATGGATGAAGATGGGGGATTTCGCTGTTATGGTTGCTGTTGTCGGTGAAAAACTAGTTGGTTTGAGAGCTGGTTTTATCGTGGACGATGGAAAGACCTGTATTCGACGCGCGGGGCGCGTCCTTCCAGAATACCGCGGTCGCGGCGTTAGCAAAAAGCTCTCGCAGGTGCTCGATGAATACGTCCGACACAATTTCCCGAGTGTTATTCGAGTGCGCTTCGTAACTAGGTACAACGACTTTAGCGAGAACTCATTAGCTAAGTTGAAGACAATTCGCCAGTTCGAAGCCTTGTCTTACGATATTGGCCGCGAGGAAGCGCCTCGTGCAAAAGAAAAGAGCCAAGAAATTCCAGCTGTCGGGATTGCTAGATGCACCAAAGAATATATTTCGGATGTTATTTTTTCTAGCCCTGCAGGACAACAGCTATGTTCAGACGGTATTCTTCTCTACGACCGTCTTCCCTTCGAGCTGCGTAGTTCAAACTTTGAAAAGCTGTTGGAAGAATTTGAGAATCTCGAATTTTACACCGAGAAATGTTGCGCCAATTCTTTCCCAAAGTCATTCAGCTTTGGGTGTGTTACCCCTCGAGTTGATTACATTCACTGGACGACGTACATTTACGCGAGCGACGTATGTCTCTACCAAGCTCATCTTTTACATCAATTCAAGCGTGCTTGCGAAGCTATCAAAGGCCGTTTTATCTTCGTTTCGTCGGTTCAAAGCGAACGTTTGAGTTCTCATGGAAAAATACTGATGGAAGACAAATTGCATCTTAAAAAATCAGACAATCTTCAAGAAATAAAGTTGTATATTTTTGAGTTGGATTTGCTACAACGGGACAGCTGATCTCATGATTTAAAGAAGAGCCATTCTACTAAGTTCGACCAAATTTGGTTTTCAGTAGCGTCCTTTAAAACAAAACATCGCACCCGCAGCTTTGCAGGGCGCCGCAATGAGGGAACAGACTAATGAAGAAAAGTACTTGAACAACGCAGACAGAAATTTAAATTTATGAACCAATCTTAGTTATAATACTAAGATCCTTTCAAATACGGCAGCTAATTTTGGTTTAATTTAGTGTAAGAAACGCGCTTACGTTTAAAATGTCGCGTACAGTACTGGAAAATTCCAATTTAGCGAACAACCAATTACTAAATAATTTTTTTCCTTAATTTCAGCAAATGAAGAACAACATATTTCCGCGCTAGACAAAATAGTTAAATCTGATATAATTGCTCGCTCAGTTCCATTTAAAGTGGAAAATATGTACGCCTATTTCGGTTTAAGGAGCACCATTCATTGAAGTTATTTTTCAAGCAGTTGATAGTTAATGTTTAATGAGCGGTTTGCAGTACTATTGAAAACTAAATAATGGTTTATTGTTTAGTTTTATCTTAAGTACCCTTACTTTGATTTAGTATTGAAACAAACGGTAAGTATATGGAAGTGTTCGGGAACGCAGCAATTCGATAGACGTTAGTAACAAGCA